TGCAATTTCCCAGGTCTCATTTGTTGCAATACAACTGTTTGTGAATAAATGAACAGAGAAACATAATGCAGCTCCAAGCAAGTGGAAATTCATTTGAAATTATTAATATTCCTTCTATGAATAGCAAAATGGGTTAAAACAGCCAAACTGTGACAACTAAACAGCATTTGATTTCCATTCGGCATTTATTGAATAGACCATTCGGAATTTCCAACAATTCACTAATTCGATAGAGACCAACCTTACTAGTGTAATAATATTACATGGACTACATTAAGGCCCACTGTAGTAGTTATGGTGCCAGGAGTGCCTTGGTAGCCCCCAGTGCAAGTAGTCAAACTGTTTAAGAATAGTTTGAGATTGGCCATGTAGGGCCCCACACATCGACTAAGAGCACTCAGGTGACACTCTGCCAATCAGCCGACCTTGCACTGGAATATCCTTGCAGGAACCTCTATATGATTAGGAGGTGGCAGTAGGAAGCCTCCAGGTAAGTTGTCTTAAATGGTTTGACTACTCATACTGGAAGAGCACCATAACCACTTCAGTGGAGCATTTTAATACAGCAATGTAATACAGAGTGCAATAAGTAAGTTAAAGGAACACTATAGTGTTAGGGATACAGAGCTGCTTCTGCACCTCGCCCCCGGCCATGAAAGGGTTAAATAAACGTTTAAATATTTACGTATTTCTAGGGACCTCGAGGCTGGGTCGAGCTTCTCCTTCGACGGCAGCTGATGTGGGAAACCTAACGTGCATGCTTTTATTTTGTTTGGACATCCTCATGCAAAGTGTCAAAATATGTAAAACTGCAGAGCCTCTAGTCTAGTGGCTGTCTGTTAGGGACCTTACACCCAGATCACTTGAATGAGATGAAGTGGTCTGGGTGCCTACAGTATCCTTTTAAAGGATTTAGACATTTTATTATTCCAAAATGTTTCTTAACCTGTTTTCTCAGAAATTGCATTAAATGGTAGGCTGCAGGGGCAGAATATATGCCCCCCCAAATTACCTAATGAAGCGGAAGTGATTTTGGTGCTCAGACTGCCACATCTCTCAGGATAATTGTTTACTAAACGATGAATTGTAGCAAACTGAAATCCAAATTGCTAAATTCAGGCTCAAATAGCAGATCTGGGAAAAGCATCCATCCCAGATATAGTCAGAGCGTGGCTATTTTAGCCTGAATCCTTCAATTCAGATTTCAATTTGCAACAATTGAGAGTTTAATTGATAACACTAAAGGTTTACTAACTTAATTATTCACTAAACTATGAACTGTTGGATTTAAAAAAAAAAAAATTCAGACGAGATAGCAAACCTGTGACAACAACGAGTAAATGCTAAGCTAACTTTTAAATTCTCGATTTAGTTTATAAACTTAGTTTTACTTGAACATGTGCCTGACACTGAAAGGTCTGAGACTCATTTGCAGAACTGAAAACATTGGCCACTTGGTGGAGCTATGCCTCTGTCAAAGTCCCCAAAAAAGGGTGTTGTAATCCATCTTTTGTGTAAAGGAATCTAAGAAGTATTAACCCTCTTGGTGTGCTGGAGGGGATCTGAGCTTTTCATGATACATTCAAGGTCTCTCCAACGTTGAAGATAGTTGAACCAGATTTAACCAGTTTAGGGTGTGGGCTGATCTGTGTGCGCTTGTGCATTTGTAGTTATTAAAAAATATTTATGTATAAAAAGGGAGGTCATTAAAATTTTATAAAATATCCTGTGTTCACAACACACAAACAGAAAAAAAAAACAACACAATCAAAGAAAAAAACAATAGACGGAATACTTTGAAAAGTTATGTTAAAACATTCTATTAATTTAATTGCAGGCTTATCTGCTTCCCAGGAGTTGTGTTCCCTGTTTTAGCTCTCAACATGTTAAAGGAATGAAGCATGTGTCTGCTTTGGCCCCTTGAACAACACTTCCAAATTTCTAACCCTTGGGGCCTGTAATTAGTGAATAATAGATGTTTCAGCATAGTTCTACTTGTTACACAATCAGGGCATTGAATGCAATAAGAAGGGGACAATTAACTCAAGATAACCATACTCCTGCAGTGCTTAGTCATTACTTTTTTATTTTATAGCATCCATAAAAATCTCAGAGATTGTTGATCACTGGTAATAAGCAACTTTTTTGAGAAGGGGGAATTTGTTGGCAAGATTTAAAGGGGAAGTGTCTCTTTTGCCTGTGCCATTTGTTCTCTTGCTTTGAAGCTGTCCTGACAGCAGTGTAGAGTGAAATCTGTCAGTTCTCAAGGAGCTGTTTGTTTTATGACAAGGGCTGCTTTCAGGAGTGGGATTATAAAAGGACAACTGTCATATGAACTTAACCCTTAGAGTAGGGCTTTCCCAGACACCCCTCATGCAAGAGTTAAAGATTTAGGAATTCCCCTACTCTGTTCAGTTTGAATACTAAAAATTTCTAGATTTTTATTTTTTTTATTTTTTTAGGTGCAATGGGGCACTTGAGTCAGAGGGGTTTTATCACTAAATTGTAGATAATTGGCAACAAACTTTTTTTTTTTTTTTTTAATTTTAGGCCAAAAAGTTTTGGACGAAAAACTTGATTGTGGAGTTTTCCTGTTTTCTATAGGCCTCAATATTGCTATTACTAGTGTTTGTATAACCCTGTTACAACTCCATGAACTGAACACAACTCCCATTATGCCCAGCTATACCTGAGGCCCTTTACCCTACCCAGCAACCTATTCATTTATGATTAACCAGAATACTTTTGGTCTATACTTTTTTATACTTTTCCAATGTGGAGTCTACGTAAGGGGGTTTATTCGCTAAACGTCAAATTACAGCAAATTAAAATCCCAATTACAAAAAATAGGCAAAAATTAACAATCTTAAAAAATCCTCCAAGTCAGCTGTACTGTACTCACATTTTAGCCTATACGTGGCCATTCTGATTTGAATTCAATGGATTTTGATGTTTAGTGAATAATTTCTTAAATATCTAGCAACTATAATCTACACAATAGTAATGATACACTAGTGTAAAGGCTCATGAGGTAATACAAAGCCTTAGGCACATGGCCCCTGACTTCACTGCCCCAGCTCTCAGGCAATACTCTACTGTATGTTTTTCTGTCACTATACCTCTTTAGAGTGTGTAAGTTTTTATTGTTCTGATAACTATTTTGGGGAACAGAGATAAATCTTAGTCATCCAGTTGCACTTTGATTCATAGACTGTATCTAATCTACAGTGTGAGAAGGTTCAGAGATCTGGCAAGACGCGATCAGGAGCAGATGGTATAAACCTTTATTTTATTTGGCGGTAGAATGTTTTGCACAATATTGCCATATTTGTTACATCGCCGCTAAAGGATGTCAAAGTTCCCTGTTCCATTTAGTGGTTAAAAAAAAAAAAAAAACTCCCTCATTCTACTATTTTTACCGATGAACTTCACAAGACTTTTTTTACACAGCGGTTTTGTGTGCGTACTGTAACTTCTCATTTGTGTCATGCATGGGTTAAAGGTGGGAATGCGCTTTACGCTTCTACTGTAAAAAAAACAAACAAAAAACTATCACAAACAACTGTGTAATAAACAGCAGTTTGCGAACGTAATCGAGCACAGAACATTGCAATGTTTATTTCCTGTTTTAAATAAAACAGCTAGTCAAATGTATGCATACAAACACCGAGGCACATATATCGCATACCAAACTTCCCCATTTCAGAACGAACTATGGGAGATTCTTAGCGTGATAAAAATGACTGCATGTAACAACAACAAAAAAAACAACTATATTTCTATAAAATATAAACTGGGTTTTGTGGTAATTACGTTTTCTTTAACCCTTTCAATACAGACTTATCTCGTTTGAGGCACACAAGGTTAAAGGGGCCATTGTGTTAAAGTTTTATTTAATCCTACTTTATATTTTTTTAAAAGGGGTAACATATGCGATGCACACCCTTTCGGAGGTGCCACTGAAGTTGTTTCAGGCCTTCAGAGAACTTGCTGTGAAACTGAAAGTGTTAATAATGAGTAGCTCCCAGATAGCAGCACTGCTAGTTAGCCTGCAGGCCAGCTGCACAAGCTCCAGGGAGGGAGAGATAGCAAGGTTTGGGGGAGGAGGGGGGAGATTTGGCTTGTCAGTCATTAACCAGGCCTTGCTGGGGTGGAGGAAGGGCCTGTGCAGGGATGGGTGCGGCCATTGCTGCTAGCACTACACTACAGAGCTCATCTGACATGCTTGAGGCTCATGCAGAATGAGCTTAGAGAGAAAACTACTTAGTTAACCCTCTGGGTGACAGGACCCACCTTCCACTCATGAAAAGTTAGTCAGGAAATTTGAATTCCAAACAATTTGCACTTTAGTGATTAATCCTGTGGTGGAAGAGACATGCTCTGCTTTGTTTTGATATCAATTTGAGTAAAGCCTTTTTACATACACAAACTTATCCCACCCTACATCCCCCAAACCTTTTAAAACATTTAAAAACTAAACACACACACACAGTTTTATATAAGAAAATCTGCTTTCTAAATTTGTGCATTTACACTTTGTCTTTTTAATTAGGGATAAGCAACTTTGATCCCATGAACCGGTTCATTGGACTAGAAGGAGGATTAAGTTAATAATTTTTTTTTTTTTTACGAAACGGTTGTCTAGTGCGCGTATATAAATGTAAAAAAAATTTACGGAAGTGAAAATGCACTTCCTGAAACATGTTTTTATTCCTTTATTAAAGAGGAAGTGTTAATAAATTTTAATGAATTCAATAAAGTGGGTGATTACGCAGGCAGGGGACCTCTTCACCAGCCCATAGCAAGCTAGCTGTACTACAACTCCCATGAGACTCAGCCAGCAAGCAGCAGCAGGCATTAAAGGAACTGTAGTCCACCGCAGCTGGGCCATCAGAGATCAGCCCGGGCGTGCGTTGACTGTTACTGTTGAGCCTTGCAGTGTTCCTCAAACTTTTTATTGTAATTTAGATCATTGAAAAGCTATAAAAAAAAAAAGCATCATGGAGTTGCAGCTGTACAAACCGATGGCAAATACTTTTGTTTTGTCCACCTCTGAATCAGCAGCTGAATTTAGGCTGGTGCTCGTGTACCCCCTGAAATACAGGCTGAGCAGCTGTGCAGCATGCCACCTGTATATTCAGCACTGCACTGGGTTAAACGCCGAGGATCACACTTCCTGCTACGTGGTCATAGCCGCTGCACTTGCACATGCAGGGCCATACACACTCTATATATGGGGAGACAAATACTCTGTTAACCCGTGCTTCCAGATGTTACTTCTGGAACAGGCTAGCTTAATATTAACCCTTTTATTGTATACCACAATGTGGGAGGGGTGTCGTCACAGGGATATTTACTCAAGTGTGAATTGTTGGGAAAATAAAATACAAGGGCACAACACAATAGCCAAAACTGGGAGAATTCTCCAAACCCAACAATTCACACTTATTCACTAAAGTGTTAATTGTTGGGAGCCGAAAGTGGATTTAACACTCTAGGTCACACTAGCTGAATTGGTAAAAATTCTCCAAGTCAGCTATGTGTTCCGTTGGATTGCTCTGGCCTTCAATTCACAAGATAGTGTCAGTAATAATGTTTACCATGTACGCTGTGGCTTGAATTTAAAAACCAGACAAACAAAAAAAACACAAATAGCAGGACTTTAATATGTTTAGTTGCTCTGCATGGGGAGAAGAAAGAAAAAAAAGTGTGCAGTATGTAAGCACAATCTGGGTGAAACCAGTTACAGACATCCCAGTGGGCCCTTATATTCTGTCACCATTGTTCCTGCTCACATGGAAAATCTACCAACAGCTTCACATAACTATGTTTATATAGAAATCCAGTTTAACTCTTTTTTTCTTTTCTTGATGGATTGGTGTGTAGCACACGGAAACACATTCCTCCAAACGTTGTCCAAAGTCTCTACAAGCAAATTAATTAACACACTACAGAATACTAGGTTGTAAATCTAACACTATAGTGTCCCTCTGCGCCTGCCTCCTTTCCCCCCATCACAGCAATTAAAGGGTTAAAAAAAACCCCCTTTTTTTCAATTGCCTTATTTCAGCTCTAAGATCCCTCGGCACTGGCTTAGTTTCTTCGGACATCACCGTGAGAAAGGGGACCTCATGCGCATGCATGGCGGACGCTATAAGCGTGTTAGGCCGTCCTATAGGATAGCATTGACTCAATGCTTCTCTATGGAGATTTATAAATCCCTGGACATCTTGGTGCAAAGCGTGAGGGCGTGCAGCACCATTTCACAGAGTTAAACTTCGTGAAAAAGCAGGAAACGCCGCTAGTGGCTGTCTGATAAACAACCACTAGAGGCAGTCTTAACCTTGCAATGAAAATATTGCAAACTGCAATGTTTTCAGCTACAGACGTAAGAGACAAGGACACTGCAAGCAGGCAGGACCAAGCAGTAATGTGGCTTTAGAATTGAAAAAGCCAGCAATTTGTGTTTCCTTCCCATATGATTGAATGGATTATATGAAGTTTCGATTTATAAAATCCCAATGTACTCTGTGGGCCTGCGCAACTCACAGACTGCAAACGCAAGGTTACTGATACCACAATGAGAATTGAGCACTGACCACATGTTATTACAGCCTGTAAACTAACAATGTTATTCAATAAAGTGAGAATTCAAAGTTAATTTCAAATTGAATGCAAGACTAGCTGAATGGAAAAGCATAACCGACTGAGAGGATTTTCCCTAGTTTGGCTACTTTGACCATATATTTGAAATTCACCTTGAATTCACAGTAAATTCTCTTTTCATATTCCTATTGCATAGATTTTTTATATTTATATTATATTTCTAAATGGCTGCTGAATGGGTGCGCGAGAACTATTCATGCACCCACCTTTGAGATCTTCCTTTACTTTAGGGATCATTAAAATAAATATATAAATAAATGGATGGCTGCACAATAAAACCAGTCTGAGGTACAAGCGAGAGCTCATTTTTCTCTGACCAGGTCCAACCTTTGTGATGAGATAACCTGCCTAACAGGTCTCACACAGCAGAGAGTTGTCCTAGTTATTACATGTAATCGTTTCTATCTATATCTAGAATAAACATATAAAAAGCTAAGCACTCACAAGGACTAGCACTGGGTGCACTCACAATGTCTGTTTATTGGAGAAGCAATCTAGTACACCGAGGTTTAAGGATTAAACGGGCCCTGTCACATCATTGCTTTTTTTTATAAGTCATTTAATCTTCCTCTGTCTTCCCTCCTTTTTATTTTTTCCCCCTAAACTCCATATTTTTTTAAGTATGGACTGGCTTTTCTTATGGCGAACTCGAAAGTTGGCGATCTTTGTGAATGGGTGGAGCTTAGTCAAGCACTACACCCATGTTTATTTTCTATTCTCTGTCCATCAATCTAACTTTGATTGGCAGATTTTGTCCTCTGCCTCTGTCCTAGTGACCTGCGTTATTCACAGATCTTTATCTGAAAGTAATGGCAAGTGCATGAACAGTTACCTGATCATTCCCCCCCGAGGCATTCCTTACTTCTTTTTTTTTTTACATTACAAGACTTATTCATGGAAAGGATTTAAAAAAAAATTAAAATTTAAATCACAATTCAATCACGGTGGGATTGACAACTTATTTGGTGTTTGCTGGGTGTCTACTCATGTGAAGCAGGAAGCCAAGGCCATCTTATTGGCTGAGACTGTCAGCCAGTGAGCTAAGCCCTCCACCACCATGCTTATCTGGCAACCGGTGCCCAGCAGACCTCAGGTAGTGTGTCAAATTGTTCTCAAACTGTTTGACTACTTACACTGGGAGGATGCCAGAGGACTCCACGCACCATAACCACTACATTTTTATTTTCCTATAGGTTCATTTGATCAAACAACACTGTAAAGTGTTGTGGAATATGCTTGTGTTTAACCCTATCACAACTTTTTGCTTATTGATGACCATATGAACCGAGCATTACATTTCCCTTTTGTTTTCGTTCAAAATTGATGTGATTAGGCAACCCTAATTTCCTGTTTGTGCATTGTTCTGTGCTACAGGATATGTTAGAGCGCTATAAACAAAATAGCATGTGCCAGTGGTTCCCAATGACCCTCTTTCTAACATCAAAGCCATGGAGGGCCAAGAGGTAGGAATCATTTGAAGACCGACAATGCCCATTATGCTTGTCTGGCTTAGATCTACGTGAAAAAGTAAAAAAAAAAAAAAATATATATATATATATATATATAAAAAGTTAATGGCTTTTTATAGAAGTTTCTGATCCCACGTTTTTATCGTTCTTTTTCACTTTAGAATAAATAGCAAGTACAGTCTTTGTGTAAGAGTTTGCCTTCCTATTGTCTCGTACAGTACAGCAAACAGGCCTTTTAATGTATAGATGCCGCAGTGTAAATATTCACAGATTATAAAATAAAGTAAAGCAATGTTCACTCAGTCCTACCCTCTCGTATCTTCAATTTACACTTTTACAATCAACGGCTAAGACTTTAGGCAATAAATCAGAGTTGTTTTTGTTTTAAAGCACAGCCCACCCCCCAAAAGCCCTGTAAAAAAATGTTGCTACAAAAAAATCTGCTATAGGGAGAGGCTTTTTTTTCTAAGGCCTAGCTGCCTGCAAGCAAGCTGTATGAAAGACCTGCCCCTAACTGGGGCTCAGTCAGACTGCTTCTCTTGTCTTTTATCACAATGTGGCCGCGCTGACTTGTTCCCAGGGAGTTGGCAGACGTTCAAGGTCTTGTGATGTGATTAACAAGCCAACTTCTTGTCCTTTGACACAGAAGCACTAGCCCAGTACAGCCCTATTTACCAGTGGCGGTGCAAGGCAGGCACAAAAACCATGTGGGATTATTCACTAAAGTGCGAATTGTTAGGAATTCAAAGTGAATTTCAGATTTTTTGAACAAAACCGTTAAATACGAAGAAAGAAGAAAAAATATCTGCGGTATGGCTATGTTTTCGGTTTGGCTATATTTGCCTAAAATTTCAAATTCTGTATAAATGCTGAACAATTCACAATTTAGTGGATGACCCCTATAGACTTAGACTTTCCATGCCTGTTGCTCCTTGCTAAATTATGTATTCCCCCTTGATTCCACAACAGGGTCGCTCTATATGCAACAAACTTCAGGATTCTTTAGAGAACATATTCCGGATGGGTTAATCTGCAATGTGGATTTAATCACAAAGTCCAGCTACGTAGTAATTTGGCACAGAAACGGTTACCGAGATCAGGAGAGGTAGTCTGGGGGTCTTTTTCCAAATCTTCCTCTTATATAATGAACAGAACATTAGGTCGCCTGCAGTGTGTACTATTGAAATGCTTTAGGTAGGAAATCCGTGTAATAATCAGGGGGATTCTGTAGCATGTGACTGCTCTATATTCCACAGGGCAGGATTTTTAAAATTTGCTGCAAACAGAAATTAAAACGCAATTTTGTGTGTAGGAAAGCAATATTCTAGAAACTCTATTATATATAACAACGTGGGGCGGTTGGAAGATCGGCACTATACAAACACATGGTCCCTAATGTGATTTTACAGAGTAGATCCACTCTGCAGCATGCACTGGTGAAAGTAAAGTAGTTTCCTTTGAGTGGTAAAATGTGCCTGGAGCTGTATGGTCAGGGACTACACTGCAAAGCAAGTTTAAAATAAAAAAAAAAAGTTTCCAACACCATTTGTAAGACAGACAGAGGAGGAGGTAGAAGGAAATAAACAAGGAAATGTGAGAGGCAGAGATGGGGCCTGGGGGGAGGGCTGCACATGTCTCCCCCCTCCCCCACAATCCTTGGCTCATTGAGACACCCAGCACTTGGGGAACCTTTGAAAATCAGACACAGAATGTAGAATGCTGTTTCTGGGTTCTGTTATGAGAACACTTGTAACAAACACTTGAGAATTCTAAGGCAGGAGTATGTAAAGCAGGATTTATTAGTTTAAACTAAAAAGCAGTGATTTTGTAAAAGAAAAAAAAAGTACATAGTAGTGATTATTAACTTTTTAAAATACCACCATTTTCAGGCAGCCATACGCTATTATTGTTAGGGGGGGATTTATATAGCTATCATTTGTAACTATATAAAAAGGGTATAACATAGTTGGGAAAACTTTACTTACTGCTGGATTCAGAGTGGGTGCAAACATATTCTTAATTTGCAAACAAGTAACTTTTTGTGAGACCAGCGACATAACGTGATTAATAATTGAAGTACGTGCAGGTATTGATCGGTGGAGTAAGACCCCATCTTCCCAGTGAGCGTGAATGCTGCTCCCAGAAAAAGGCGGCAGTGTACTCCATACTGGTGTCTGTCTGCAATGTGACTGCTTCTCCCAGAGAGAGATTCATGCAGTAAGGCTGCAATGTGACTGCTTCTCCCAGGGAGAGATTCGTGCAGCAAGGGCAGGCTGCAATGTGACTGCTTTTCGTAAGAAGAGACTCCAACGTGACCGTTTCTCCCAGGGAGAGGCTCATGCAGTAAGGTTGCAATGTGACTGTTTCTCCAAGGGAGAGGCTCATGCAATAAGGTTGCAATGTGACTGATTCTCCCTGGGAGAACATTCAATGCACACATGGAGAGATTCACTGGCTGCTATGTGACTGCAAGTTCTAGGTATGAATTCATGCAGTAGAGTACCCCATAGTGGGCTCTGTCTATGTGACTGCTTGTGGTCGATGAAGCTAGCTTGCAACTCCTTGAGTGAACTAATTGAACAGAGTTGCTGATAGTGTGCCCTGCAGCTCCCTCGCAGACACAAGTGAGCACAGGGGAGCCAGCACAAGGGAGGCAGAACTGCTGTTAGTGTGCTCTGTTCCCGGTCAGCCACTGGACCAGAGCTGCTGATAGTGTGCTAGACACAGAGGAGGCAGAAGTTCTGATAGTGTGTTCTGTAGTACCCTGGCAGTCTCAGAGAGCCAGACCTGTTGATAGTGTGCTCTGTCGTACCCTGGCAGTCTCAGAGAGCTCAGGGGAGGCAGACCTGCTGATAGTGTGCTCTGTAGTACCCTGGCAGTCTCAGAGAGAGGGTCTGATAGTGTGCTCTGCAGTACCCTGGATCAGAGAGAGGGTCTGATAGTGTGCTCTGCAGTACCCTGGGTCAGAGAGAGGGTCTGATAGTGTGCTCTGCAGTACCCTGGATCAGAGAGAGGGTCTGATAGTGTGCTCTGCAGTGCCCTGGATCAGAGAGAGGGTCTGATAGTGTGCTCTGCAGTACCCTGGATCAGAGAGAGGGTCTGATAGTGTGCTCTGCAGTCTCAGTAGAAGCAGCACAGTACACGAGGCTGGCTGCAATGTGACTGCTGCTCCCAGACTGAGACACACAGCTTGTAGCACTAAGGAAATTGGCGGCGGCCAATAGCAAGGTCGTATCGTGATGTCACGGTGGCAGGGGGGAGTTGCCTAGAGACCCCGGCTGGGTCAGCGTTCTATCCCTCCCACCCGCTCGCGAGCACCAGTTATATAGTTGAGGCTGCACGTTAGCCAGGGAGTTCCAGCAGCCAGCTCTTTGCACTTATCACACCATCACCACCACCTACCACCACCACCACCACCACCATCATCATTATCCATCCCAGCCAGCCAGCCAGCCTGCCGGCGGAATACTCTCAGCGCTGCCATCCTCCTCTGCTCTGTCCTAGTCGTGGCTATTCCAAAGCCCTCACTTAACGCAGGATCTATCGGTCCTCTGGACTCGCTGACAGCTACAAACTGGATCTGGAAATGTCTGCAACACTTTTATCTGCCTTCTACGACATTGAACTGTTCTGCAAGGTACGCACAGCAAAGCTTTGTGCCCTGCCTATATAGTGCCTGGGTTTATTTTACTTTTATTTATTTTTTTAATTTCTATTGGTGCTCTTCAGAAACTTTTTTTTTTTTTAGGGTTCCCCTGCAAGCCAGGGACTGCTCGGGAAAGGGGATCTGTGTACTTGGATTATGATTTTTTTTATTTTTATTATTTTTTCAGACTTTGTTGGGATGTCTTCAGGAGGAAGTTAGAGCAGTGCTTGATCAAAGTATATGATCTAGGGCAGCTTGCTTACAGGGGGACAGTGTGCTGTGTGACTTGTGCACTTGGATTTGAGGCATAACCTCTGTTATGTGGGTTTTTAGACTGCATACTTGGATCTGGAGAACACTTTGCACATGTGGATCTGAGTGGAAGGGTTACTCTGTACTTTATTTACTTAGATCTCCTGTGTAAATCACACTTTTTGGAATTCCAGTATGTGTATATATTTTGCTAGATGACAGTATGCAGGGTGTAGTTTTCAAGGTTGTGCATTAGCACACCAGTTATGTGGGTTTATTTACAGACACTGAGTTGGGGAGGACTGGGGGGGCTGTTTTGTAGAATTGGATATGAAACTTGGTTTATATATTGTACATGTGGGTCTTGGGTGTAACTTGTGCAGTTTAAAAGGCAAGGAAGGACCAGGGTTGTAGACTTTGTGCTTAGATCATGAATGCAGATTATAGGCAACTTCTGTTGACTGTATACATGGATATTGGGTAGAAACATGAATCTAGTACTGCAGACACATATCATGTCTGCTGGCTTTGCATGCCATAATATCTTGTTTGTACCCCAGATCCAGTCACACATTGCAGATATGGATCAATTCTCTTGACTTTGTGTCTTGGGTATAAACAGGGATATGGTGATCAAGTTGCTGAGACTGAATACTCTTGTTGACGTTCATTGTTTGTATCTAAGTGCAGATTGCAGACAGGGTTCACTTTTACTGACTTTATGTTAAAGTTTTGGGCTACTGACAGGTATGTGTAATGCAGATTGCAGCTAAATAACTTGCATTTTGTTTCTCTCTCTCTCCTGTTTTCTTGCAGAACGAGAAAGCCCTGAACAATCTGAACTTCAGTACCATGCTGGACAAGAAGGCTGTGGGGAGCCCTGTGAGCTCCCCTAACTCCAGCTTCATCCCTGGCTTTCTCCGCAGACACTCTGCCAGTAACCTGCAAGCTCTGACCAACAACAACTCGCCCCCCAAATTCTGCAACAATCCCCTAAAGGAGCCCAACAATACAGGCTCCAGCAGCACTACGAGCAACACCGCCCTGATGAACAAAGAGAATAAGTTCAGGGACCGCTCGTTCAGCGAGAATGGGGAGCGCAGCCAGCACCTCTTCAACCTCCAGCAGCAACAACACAGCAAGTCTGGAGCACAGATCAACTCTACCCGATACAAGACTGAGTTGTGCAGACCTTTTGAGGAGAGTGGAGCCTGCAAGTATGGTGAGAAATGCCAGTTCGCACATGGCTTCCATGAGCTGCGCAGCCTGACTCGCCACCCCAAGTACAAGACCGAGCTGTGCCGCACTTTCCACACCATCGGTTTCTGTCCCTACGGACCCCGCTGCCACTTCATCCACAATGCTGAGGAACGGAGACAGGCCCCTGGGGGCCATAGCGATCGTCCCAAGCTGCACCACAGTCTCAGCTTCTCTGGCTTCTCCAGCCATGGGCTGGACTCCCCACTGCTGGAGAGCCCAACCTCTCGTACCCCACCACCACAGCCCTCCAACTCCCTCTACTGTGAGGAGACCGTGCCATGTGCCAACAATGCCTTTACATTCTCCGGCCAGGAGCTGGGACTGATCACCCCATTGGCCATTCAAACCCACAACCTGTCGGGCTTTAACCCTGCAGCCTTCTGCCGCCAGCAGTCCTCCAACTCGCCACCCCCAACCATCAACTTCCAGCCGCTGAGACGTCTGTCCGAATCTCCTGTGTTTGACAACCCTCCCAGCCCCCCGGAGTCGCTGTCCGACCCGGAGAGCTATCTGAGCGGCTCCCTGAGCTCTGGCAGCCTGAGCGGCTCAGATTCCCCTACCCTGGACTCTAACAGGCGTCTGCCCATCTTCAGCCGTCTGTCCATCTCTGATGACTGAGCCAAGAAAGACACCCTTGCAAGGGCAGCCACTTTCTCAGCTACATTGAGCTATTCAGAACGGCCTCCACAGCTCCCCCTCGTGTCTAGAACACAGAGGAAAAAAACTGCAAAGCCCACAGCTGCTGCAGAACTTCTTGGATCAACAGTCAAAAAAGCAAACCTTATTTAAGAAAGGTCTTGAAGAAGCAGAGTAGTGATTGACAGGTCTGTGCTTTTTTTATTTTTTTTTATTTTTTTTCTCCTTTTATTCTTAAGATGTTCTGCAGCAGCTGATGGCATTTGTTGTCTTCAGGGGGTATGTGGACTCTGAGGGTTTGCCCGCCCCCACCCCTTCTCCCTGCCTATATATTAAGTGGAGTTTTGAGGGCTACAAGTGGCCTGGTGTTCTGCCGGGCAGTAAGTTTGTTTGCCCCATTTCTAAAGCTGCCAGTCTGCTCTCTTGTTCCCCACTCATAATATGCTACAAAGACTCAGGAGGGGGAAAAGGAGGATGACCCCAAAAATATCCACGACTAATCACAGCAAGGACTGAACACTTGAACTGTTAAATGCTGGCACTCATTTCCCCTATAACTTGTTATTTTGCCTTTTGATGTCTCTGCTACATTTTTTTTTTTTTTTAATTTAATGAAAAGCAGAGGCAGGAAAAAAAAGACTCTAAACATCCGAAAAGCTGAACAAAATGAAAAAAGAAGAAAAAAAAAACGAAACAATATTTGCAAAAGGGCAAATGTAATGAATAGAACAAAACTATTTTTATAGAACTGTGGGGGTAAGTGGGTGGGATTGTGTCTTTGGGTGGGGGGCGGGTATTTTTATTCACCAGCAGGCATTCCATTTCTTGAAGATTTAGCACAGAAAAACTTGGAGACCGCAGTCTAGCATTCGCATTCTCCAAGAGTTTAATAATAAAACTTTAAAAAATAAAATAAAAAAATCCAGTTTAAAAATGACCTATTAAACCCTATAAGCTTTTAAAAATTCAACATCCTGCCAAGAATATGCCTTAACAACAAGCAACCCTCTATTCATTTTTTTTCTTTAGCTTAAATACTAAAACTTCCATTCCAAAGTTTTAACCTTGTTCCATTTCCACTGCGTAGTGGGCTGTATAGCTTAGAACAATATTTGTTTATATGGAAGCACTCAGTTGAGTTAGTTTAATTGTTGAATAACTGCTGATTTATTTTTGTTTTATTATTATTTTTGTTTTATATTATTATTTTTAGCTGTCTGAGTTGCTTGCCTGTCACTGCACACAACTCGATATGAAACTATTTAACTTATTTATTATCTTGTGAAAAGTATACATTGGTAATTTGTTCATACTGTATTTATCGGGTATGATGAAAGCAATAGATATATATTCTTTTATTATGTTTAAATTATGATCGCCATTATTAATCTGCAAAAATGTGGAGTGTATGTTCTTTTCACAGTAATATATGCCTTTTTTTGTAACTTCACTTTGGTTATTTTATTGTAAATGAGTAAAATCTTAATTTAAGAGATTGTATGTAATATTTATTTCATTTAATTCCTTTTCCTTGTTTACGTTAATAAAAAAAAAAATGAATGGTTTCTTCGCAGAAATCAATCTCAATGCTGTGGAAGAAGTTTTAAGGAATTTTTTTTTTTTTTTTCCTTTCTCTGTCCCCCTCACATATTACCTGTGTGTAAAGTTAAAAAAACTAAAATTTAAACCCTTTTAAGTGCTAAAAGAAAAGTGTTTAATGCGCTGACTCTCCTTATGGAACACAAAGGGTTAAGCCCACCCTAAAACAAAATATATATTTTGAAACAAAAGCATTAACATTTGACTACAGTGACTTACTGTGTTTCATAGCAACCAAAAAGTATTTTTTTTTTATTTAATTTTTTTTTTTTTATTTAAATTTTTCACCGCAATCACTGTGACTAAAGGTATGTAGCAATAATTGGGGTCCCAGTATTATTTTCACAGTGCCTTTTGAAGAGTTCACACTTGCCTTAAAACTTTTCTTAACCAAAAAAGTATTTTCTTGTGAAGGTGTGATAATTTGAATGTAGGGATGGGTTTTCTTATCATTTTTGTACCACTCATAAGTAAAAAGGCCACAATTAAAAAAAATAAATAAATAAAAAAAAATTTCCATGCAGTATCTGAACCTATTTCACTCTTTCATTAAATTCCTTAAATTTCCTTACATAGAAACAAAGCGATTTTTCTACAATTTGCCTAGATGGTAAATGACTGAAACAAGCCTGTTTTTGTTTGTTTGTTTTTGTACATAGTAGGTACAGATTGAGCACTATGTACTCTTTTTGGACTACTTTAACAGACTTTTTTTTTTTTTTTTTCCTGAATGTAACGAAAGGCTGAGTTGACTATAAATCTAGATATTTTTGTATATCTACTTGTATAGTTGGTTCTCTTAAGAATTGTGAGACTGTAAACTGTACTGTTAATGTTTTCTAGTTCTCCCAATAAATTTTTGGAAATAAAACGGATACCGTTGATGTTCTTTATTTCTTTCTTATACACTTCGTCTTTAAGGTTCTATTTGGTCTTTACCTACAAGTTAAGTAATATTTGTACTGGTAAGCATTACTGTTTTACTGCCAAGGCAAATAGCTGGTTGAACTAAATTCCAAAGTGCCAGATTGATCAATGAATTCAGTGTCCTTAACCCTTAACAACAGGGCCAGACTGTTACTAGCAAATCAAACAGAATTTTGGAAGGCATTCTGTTTGCAGCAGCATTAAAAACGGGGGTAATTGATTTTTGCACAAGTTCATGGTTTGGGGTTCATTCACTAAACTACCTTTGCTAGTTTTCACACAAAGCTTGCACACATAAAGGCTAGGTTTGAAGGGGTGGGTACAAATTTCACTTTTTTTTTTTTTTCTATTTATAAGGGTTAGGGGTTGCCCTAAACATTGCTGGTTCACACTATACAACAATTTATAATATAATTTTATATATATATATATATATACACACACACACACACTTTTAAGAAAGCCATCTAAGAAAGAGTTAAAATCTTTCTAGTAATAGAAGTTAGCTTCCTTCTCAAAAAAATAATAAAAGCTTTTACAAAAAAAAAAAATTGTGGCTTTTAGAAGAATTCTACACAATACCCCTCCCCTCCACCACCAGTTGAGCAGTCTGGTCTATTAAATCAATTGTCTCATTGTTTTGTAATTGCAGGTATCCCTCTCTAATTATTTTTAATGACAATCAACAAATACTAAACATTGCATTACTTACAGATTAATTCCCACGCAGTGCTGTGAGTGATCAAACTTAAATACCAAAAATATAAAAACCAAGATGGCAGAACATTTTAAAGAAAATATGGATGCTGGCCTACTGTAATTAGTTTCAAAATCTGTGAAAAATCTCTCTCCTCAGTGTCAAAAAACCCAACTATTTTGCATATTTTTCTCTCATAAATAACAAACAAGTGCATTAATTTAAAACATATTGTGCTAATTCTGAATTATCTTTTCATATTCGACATCATGAAAATATCTTCCTTTTAATATATAGCACCAAATGTCACAAAAACACAAAACTCACTAGGTGGAAGGGCTCTGGTATTTAAATGCCTAAATGTATAACTTTAAAAAAAAAAAATCTTATATTATATATATATATATATATATATATATATATAAAAAAAAATTTTATTTTTTTTACCCTTTCTCAAGTAGGCCCAAAAGCCTCCATTCACATTGCACATGTTAACAAGTGATTCTGCTTTTGATTACTTGTTACAGTCCCTATGTGAGAGATTGATGGCAAACCGGAGTATGCACAGTAAGATACTATCTAGAATTGTATTCTCTAAAAGTAATCATAATCCAGGTTGCAAAATTTTATTCTAAAATAGCAAAACTGGTGTATATTTGATTGGAGATGTTCTCTAAATCATCTGGTCTTGCTTACATTTTTAAAGTTACATTTCAGTTCACAACAGATCATTTAGTGGGGAAAAACCCCCGAGAGTGATTTAATGCTACTGGTGAATTTGGATGGCTGTGCATCATATAATTACTAAATACTCAAAATAGCATCACTGTAGCACACTATATTAAATGGCTGAGTGACAATCTTTCTATAATCTGCAAAGTGCAGGGGAAACTGCTAATGTATATTTAAAGAACCACTTATATCCATGTATTGATTTTTATATTGATACATTAAAGTGTGATCGTTTAGTGGTGCCCACCTGGCATTACTGTTCCAAACTGTGTATAACGCAGTGGCTAGCATGATTGCTGCTCAGAACATGGTATGGCAAAAAAATAAAAAGTGCCATGAAGAGTACAAACATTATGTATGAATTCTTGTCATCACCAAGATAATACACTTACTGTCTGGCGTGATCTGATGGAAGTTGTAGTTTAAGAAGAAGAAAAAAAAAAGCTAAATAATTGTGAAGGTTTTTGCACAAATTACTTTTTCAGAACACAATACTACTGTATAACACAAGCCGTTAGTTTAACATGTATCATGTTTTTAAAATAAATAAATAAATTAAATTAGAAAAAGCAAGTTCCACGACCAAATTTTGCTAATTTTTAAGTCTGTTCAGTTTCCACTGGGGTATAGGTAGGCTATTTACAGCTGTTCAAGTGCTGTTAACTCCCATCATCCTCAGCCATGCTGCAGTATTTAATGTCTATATTCACCTTATTGTGTGGATTGCCTTGTCACACCTTGTTCCTGTATGCCTCTGGTTTTCTGTAGGTGTTGTTTAACCAGTGTACAGTACGTTATAAAAGATGGAACGCCATGGGGTTCTGTACAATGGTTTAGGCTTCCTGTACATTTGATATTGCTGACCTTTTACTTTATTTCCTCTCTTTTGGCATTAGTGGTACTGCCCTCTCCTGGCACTCGTATTTTCCAAGTTCTTACAAATGTTTCAGTGGAACTCCAAATCACTGCTTCTGTTCAACTGTACTAGGGGTGATATGGTCACCAGATGTGCACTTATTTGTGGAAG